TGCACTGAACACATTCCCTACCTGTCGTATTTCATAGGTACATGAAGTATTTTCTTGTGTATGAAAATGATTTCCCACTTCCTATTTAACCAATGTGAAGGAAATAAAGCCAACAGACGTGCTGTTTGAACCGAGGATCAGGTTCCTTGTTTGGTCCCAGGGGCACGCTCAGCTGAAAAGGGATTCCTGGAGGTGCAGGGAGAGAGGGACAGGGTTTCCTCAGGAACGAGGTGAGGGCCAGCCAGCTGTGCAGCCCACACCCACAGGCCGTCCAGGGCCCCTCCCCGCTAGAGCTGCCACCCAAAGGTGACTCCCCCATGCAGATGTTCCGAAAGGAACTGCATCCTCCCTAACCGCTCCAGCTCCCAAGCTGCTCCCCTCGGGGTCCTGTGGACGCCACTGGCAGTCCTGGCCAGTTCTGCCCACGTCACTCCTTGGCGCAGGCATCACTCAGTGTCCTGCTTTGCTCTGGTCTCTTCCCACTTTCCTGTAGTTCATGTTTAAGCGCTCCTTTTTGGAACTCCAAACCTTTGTGGCACTAGCTCCTGGCAGCAGCCATCTACCCCCCCTCACTATGATCCTCTAATTAGTTTAAGCAGGTAAGAAGTCAAGATCTGAGACAAAACAAGACACGGGACATCTAGAAATAAGTCACTAAAATTAAAAATGCAACCTATTGGTTAAATACAGATGAGAGCCCCTAATTGGTCTGGCTCAGTAGATAAAAGCGTCGGCCTGCGGACTGAAAGGTCCCAGGTTCGATTCCGGTCAAGGGCATGTACTTTGGTGATAGGCACATCCCCAATAGGTGTGCAGGAGGCAGCTGATGGATGTTTCTCATCAATGTTCCTAACTCTCTATCCCTCTCTTCCTCTTTGTAAAAAATAAATAAAATATATATATTTTTAGCCAGGACCGGTTTGGCTCAGTGGATAGAGCGTCGGCCATATTTTTTTTTTTTAAATAGCAGGTGAGCCAAAACCGGTTTGGCTCAGTGGATAGAGCATCAGCCTTTGAATCAATCAAAGGTCCAGGTTTGATTCCAGTCAAGGGCATGTACCTTGGTTGCGGGCACATCCCCAGTAGTGGGTGTGCAAGAGGCAGCTGATTGATGATTCTCTCTCATCGATGTTTCTAACTCTCTATCCTTTTCTCTTCCTCTCTGTAAAAAAGTCAATAAAATATATATTTAAAAAAAAAAAAAAGAAAATCACTGATCTAAACATCTAAGGAAATAATGCCAATGTTACACATACTCTGAGGAAACAGAGCACTTCCCAATTCTTTTTTTATGAAGGTAGCACAGCCCTGATAAGAAAACAAAACAAGACCATACCAAGAAAATAAAATTATAAAGTAGTATTCCTTTCTTGGACACAGACGATGCAGTAATCTTTAACCAAATTGAACACAATGTATAAAAAGGACAACCATGACAAGTGGGCCTTATCCCAGTAACGCCAGGCTAGCTTCACATTCAAGTAGTTTAATTCACATTCACGAACTGAAGCAGGCACACCATATGATTATTTCAGTATGTTCAAAAAAACACTGGACAAAACTCAATACCCATTCATAATAAAAACTCTGCCGACTAAAAACAGGAGGACCCTTCCTCAATCTGACAATGGTCCCCTAAGAAAAACAGCTAACATCTTGATGAAATACTTATAAAATGATGAAAAACCAAAGGCATTCCCCCCTTCAGGAGCAAGACAACGGTACTTGTCACCACTTCCCATGTGCATTGTTCGGTATGCTGGGCATTAATAATGTCAGCAGTAGCCGAAACCGGTTTGGCTCAGTGGATAGAGCGTGAGCCTGAAGGGTCCCAGGTTTGATTCCAGTCTCAAGGGCATGTATCTCGGTTATGGGCACATCCCCAGTAGGGGGTGTGCAGGAGGCAGCTGATCGATGTTTTTCTCTCATCGATATTTCTAACTACCTTCCTCTGTAAAAAAAAAAAAAAAAAATCAATAAAACATATATTTTTAAAATGCCAGCAGTAGTTAAGGTTGGAAAAGAGAATTTTATTGGCTTCACAGACAACACTAGTAAAATTGCCTATAGATCCCCAAGGAGTGTACAGAAAAGACCCAAGAACGGAAGTCCAGCAATATCACAGGGAATAGACAAAAGTCAGCTGTGGTGCTCGCCTCCGCCGTCGGTGCTCGGGCCCCTGCGGTTCGCTGGGCTGGTCCAGGGCCGAAGGGGGCGCAGCGTAGTGCGGTGAGGCTGGGCGGGGTGGCACGGCGTTGGGGAGCGCAGCAGCCAGCCTCTCCCATCGCAGCCCAGCCCGCAAGGGCCCGCCGGTTGCCCTGTGCGATGGGCTGGCGGGGAGCAGCTCGCTGGGGGCAGATACGCAGCCCAGAGCAGGAGCAGGCGGACGCCGCGGGGGAGTGAGGGGGCAGCTTGCAGCGCCAGCTGGACCGCAAAAGGAAGCGGAGGAACCCCCCCCCCCCCCAGCCGAGGTCGCTTCTCTGCACAGACGCATCCAGCTGGTAGAAGAGTTGGATCGAGCACGAGAGAGAGCGTCTGGCAACAGCTTTGCAGAAACTGAAGGAAGCTGCCGAGAAGGCAGCCGATGAGAGCGAGAGAGGAATGAAAGTCATGGAAAGTCGAGCCCAAAAAGGAGGAGGAGGAGAAAATGGAAATTCAGGAGATCCAACTGAAAAAGGCCGAGCGCATGGCTGAAGATGCCGACCTCCAGCAGGAAGGTTAGCTAGTCATCAGAGAGCGGCCCGGAACGTGCAGAGAAGCAGGCGGAGCTCTCAGAAGGCCACGTTCAACAGCTGGAAGAACAATAAGTCCTCTCAGAAGGAAGACAAATACGAGGAGATCAAGGTCCTTTCTTTTTTTAAATATATATTTTATTGATTTTTCACAGAGAGGAAGGAAGAGGGATAGTTAGAAACACCGATGAGAGAGATCTGAGAGAGATCGATCAGCTGCCTCTTGCACACCTCCCACTGGGGATGTGCCCGAAACCAAGGTACATGCCCTTGACCGGAATCGAACCCGGGACCTTTCAGTCTGCAGGCTGACGCTCTATCCACTGAGCCAAACAGGTTTCGGCATCAAGGTCCTTTCTGACAAGCTGAAGGAGGCTGAGACGGGGGCTGAGCTTGCGGAGAGGTCAGTCACTACGTTGGAGAAAAGCATTGATGACTTAGAAGACAACTGTGCGCTCAGAAACTGAAGTGCAAAGCCATCAGCGAGGAGCTGGGCCACGCTCTGGACAGGACTTCCATGTACATGTCCAACCACCCCGCCTGCTCACCTCGGAGCGCTCATGCTAATGTGATAACCTCACCGCTGCTCCCTTCCGGGGCTCCAGAGTTGTCCATCTTCACTCCTTCCTGCTTCCTCTTTCGGCATAACCTAGGATAGTCATTGGTGGTGGTTGTTTTTTTACTTTCTACTAATATAAAGGCCAAGCAAATTAAAAAAAAAAAAAAAAAAAAGTCAGTTGTGCCCCAGCTCATTTGGCTCAGTGGATAGTGCTGGCCTGCAGACTGCAGGGTCCTGGGTTCGATTCCCAGTCAAGGGCACATGCCCAGGGTTGCAGGCTCCATCCTCAGTAGGGGGCGTGCAGGAGGCAGCGGATCAATGATTGTCATCACTGATGTTTCTATCCCTCTATTCCTCTCCCTTCCTCTCGGAAATCAATAAAAATATATATTTTTAAAGTCAGTTGTATTGCTAGCAATGAACAGTTGGAAGATGAACTTTTGAAAATCGATACCATTTTTTAATAGCATCCAAAAAACATAAAATACCTGGGGGTAAAGTTAAAAATGTACAAGATCTCTACACTAAAAAATACAAACTATGCTTAGGGGAAATTTTTTTTTTTTAAAAAAAGGAGCGACATCGTGTTAGAGGATTGCAAGACACACTTTCTACAAATTGATCTCTAAATCCAGTATAATCAAAATCCCAGGCTGACAAGCCAAGTCTAAAATGTGTATTAAAATGCAAGATCCTCACAACATAAACCCTAGTGAGTCCCAATGTATGAACGGGAAAACAAAGTATTTACATCAACTAGAATACCTCAAGTGTAAGAATGTCTTTGTGACTTACAGACAAGAATGGATTTTTTTAGGACACCCTGCACAAAATTCTTAAATTTGTTAAAATTTGAAAATTTGATAAGAATTCCATAAACAAATTTAAGCCAAAAACAAAACAAAACAAAACCTAGGGAGTACAAATCAACAAGAAAGCACTGGTTTCAAGGCCACAGCACGAACACGTGTGTGTCCGCACAAGTAGCTCCATGGAACCATTTCACCACCGAAGGAAAACCGTAAATAAAATCGGAGCAGTGTTTGTATCAGACAAGATGATACAAACGAAGGGCCATCATTTCCTGAACGAAAAGACCCAAGTGGCGAACACGGACACAGAAGCGGACCCCGGGGAAGCTGCCCAAGTGTCCTGCCTCTTGGAGAGCCCACCTGGAGAGAGAACCAGCAAAGGGGCGCCGTAGGGGGTTCTAACCCCCACCCGCAGCCGGGGATGCAAACCCGCACCCGCGGCGGGTGGAGGAAACAGAGGGGGAAACAGACTGCCACAGACACCAACCCTCCCATACAGACCAACGTCCTGCGGGCTCCCGCGCAGCAGCCGGCGCCCTTAGGAAAGCGTCTTCCCGCGGGGCCGCCCGGAGCGAGCGAGCGCCGAGAGGGGGCGCCCTACCCAAGCTGGAGGCCGGGCCCGGGGAGCCTCCGGCCTCTCTAGCCGCAAGGTCCGCCTGGAAGGCCCGTGCCCAGAGGACGAGGTGCCAGAACCGGCGCCGGACCGAGGAGCGCACGGCCCGCCCCCAGGAGCCTCCCCAGGGCCCCCCCCCGAACCTTCCCAGGGCCCCCCCAGGAGCCTCCCCAGGGCCCCCCAGGAGCCTCCCCAGGGCCCCCCCAGGAGCCTCCCCAGGGCCCCCCAAACGCCCAAAAACCACGCGGAGACGGGTGAGGTGACCAAGGCCGACGTGTTGGGTCCTAGGCGGGCAGCAGCCCGCGCGCGCGCAGCTCGAGCAGCGGCGACAGCGTGTAGCGCAGGCGGCGGAAGGCGGCGGCGGAGCCCAGGCGCGGCAGCAGGCGGCGCAGGGCCGCGGGGTTGACCAGCACCAGGTAGAGCAGCGGCAGCGCCAGGGCGCCGAGCGGGACCAGCAGCCGCACCTGCAGCGCGCTCAGCGCCCACAGCCTGCGGACAGGCGGCCGCGTGAGGGACCAGCCGCCGCGGCCTGGCGCCCGCGCCCCGCCCCGCGCGCCGCCGCCCGCCCCGCGCCTCACCTGGCGCCCATGGCGCCCGCACCGCCGAACAGGCGCTTCTTCTGCGGAAACAGAGCGGCGTCCAGCTCTACGCGCGCCTCGGGGGAGCGGAAGGTACCTCACAGGAGGTGGGGGGACGGGAATCGCGGGCTCACAGGAGTGGGGGGCCCCGTGAGGGCGGATTTGTCAATAAGCGGGCCTCGTGGGGGAGGCGGGCCCCGCGGGTGTGAGGGGGAGCCCCATTGGAGGGGATCTGTCAAGGGCGGGCCTCGTGGGGAGGCGAGGCCCCGTGGGGAGGCGGGCCCGTGGGGAGGCGGGCCCGTGGGGAGGCGGGCCCGTGGGGAGGCGGCCCGCGGGTGCGGGTATCCCGGTGGGTGCGGGTATCCCGGTGGGTGCGGGTATCCCGGTGGTGCGGGTATCCCGGTGGTGCGGGTATCCCGGAGGGGGCGGGTATCCCGGTGGTGCGGGTATCCCGGAGGGGGCGGCCGGTTCCAGCCCTCCCGCCCGGACGCAGGCTCACACACTCGGCCTTGGCCACCTCCTCCATGAGGGAGCCCGCGCAGTCCGGCACGCGGCGCGGCAGGGCGTTGAAGCTGCGGGACAGGCGGGAGGTGGGCGATGTGCCGGCCTCAGGCCCCCCACACCCACAGGTGACCCCTTACAGCTCCTTGCTGACTCGCGAGGCATCCAGCGAGGCCGCCGCCTCCATCACCTTCCCCTGCAGCTCCTGGGGGAGACGGGAGGGAGGTCTCAGGACGGAGGCCGGCGTCGGTGGAGGCGGGGATCGGACCGGGGGCCAGGCCGGGGCCGGGCCAGGGGCGGGGAGGGGGACCGAGGCGGGGCGGGGCCTGAGGCGGAGACCGGGCCGGAGGCGGGGCCTGAGGCGGGGACCGGGCCGGAGGCGGGGCGGGGCCTGAGGCGGGGACCCGGCCTGAGGCGGGGACCGGGCGGGAGGCGGGGACCGGGCCTGAGGTGGGGACCGGGCCGGAGGCGGGGACCGGGCCGGAGGCGGGGACCGGGCCTGAGGCGGGGTCCGGGCCTGAGGTGGGGCCTGAGGCGGGGACCGGGCGGGAGGCGGGGACCGGGCCGAAGACGGGGACCGGGCCGGAGGCGGGGCGGGGCCTGAGGCGGAGACCGGGCCGGAGGCGGGGCCTGAGGCGGGGACCGGGCCTGAGGCGGGGACCGGGCGGGAGGCGGGGACCGGGCCTGAGGTGGGGACCGGGCCGGAGGCGGGGACCGGGCCTGAGGTGGGGCCTGAGGCGGGGACCGGGCGGGAGGCGGGGACCGGGCCGAAGACGGGGACCGGGCCGGAGGCGGGGACCGGGCGGGAGGCGGGGACCGGGCCTGAGGTGGGGACCGGGCCGGAGGCGGGGACCGGGCCTGAGGTGGGGCCTGAGGCGGGGACCGGGCGGGAGGCGGGGACCGGGCCTGAAGCGGGGACCGGGCCGGAGGCGGGGACCAGGCCTGAGGCGGGGCCGGGCTGGGGCCGGGGGTGGGGAGGGGGACGGAGGCCGGGCGGGGCCTGAGGCGGAGACGGGGCCTGAGGCGGGGCGGGGCCTGAGGCGGGGACCGGGCCTGAGGTGGGGCCTGAGGCGTGGACCGGGCGGGAGGCGGGGACCGGGCCTGAGGCGGGGACCGGGCCGGAGGCGGGGACCGGGCCTGAGGTGGGGCCTGAGGCGGGGACCGGGCCTGAGGCGGGGACCGGGCCGGAGGCGGGGACCAGGCCTGAGGCCGGGCCGAGCTGGGGCCGGGGGTGGGGAGGGGGACGGAGGCGGAGACAGGGCTGGAGGCGGAGCGGGGCCTGAGGCGGGGACCGGGCCGGAGGCGGGGACCGGGCCTGAGGCGGGGCCGGGCCGGGGCCGGGGGTGGGGAGGGGTTCGGAGGCGGGGACCGGGCCTGAGGCCGGGCCTGAGGCGGGCCGCGGCTCTGGGGGAGGCGGAGAGAAGGCTGCGGTGGAGGCGGAGGCTGGCGGCTCTTAGGACCTAGGGCGAGGGAAGGGGGCACCTGCAGGACTCCGCTCTGCTCCTGGAAGCTGGCCCACGCCTCCTCGGTCCGCTGTGCGCCCTGGGATCCGAGGAGCCTCGATTAGATTTGGGGGGGGGGGGCAGAGTCGGGAACACACCCCCCTCTGCACTTTCCGGCACCAGCCCAGCCTCCGCCTGCACACCCGGCCGCCCTTCCCTTCAGACCCCGACTCCGCGCCCACCTGCCGCAGGCCCTCCGCCTGCACGGCCTGCTTGGCCTCCAGCAACTCCAGTTGTTTCTTCCATTGAATACAAGACAGTCAAGAGCCGCCGGCCGCGCCTCAGGGCCGCGTCCCCGGTCCCCAGAACCCCTCCCCCACCCCACCCCGCCACGCCGCCCTCCAGCCCGCAGGGCCGCCCCGCACCTGCAGCGCTAACAGCTGGGTCTCGAGCTGCTGCTCCTGGTACTGCTGGCTCTGCTGCTCGCCTCCGTAGTAAAACAGCTGCGGGGGGGGGCTCTGTGAGGGGGGCTCGCAGGCTGGGGGCGGGGGGGGGAGGAACACCCCGGGGCTGAAAGGGAGCAGGAACTAGAGCGGGACTTTAGGGGAAACAAGAAACGGCATCGCCTGCAGGTACCTGACTTGACAGCTCTTCCCACTGCTCCTGCAGCTGCCGGTTGTGCTGCTCCTGCGGAGATGGAGGAGATGGCAGCCTCTCTGAGGTCCTGCCCTCCCCGCGACCCCGCCCCACACCCGGCCGGGCCCCTCCACGGGCACCGCCCCACCAGGGCTGCGCCCCCCGCAGGCACTGCCCCTCGGGGCCCCGGGCCGCACCAGGTCCCGCTTGCGCTGCTCCGCAGCCTCTAGCAGGCCGCGCGCCCGCTCCGCACGCTCCCGCGCCGCCTCGCGCGCCTCCCCGCCCACGGTGCCCGCCGCCTGGCTCTGCCTCCGCTGCAGGCTGCGGGGAAGACAGACGTTGCTGGCGCTCAGGCACCGCGGCACCGGGGGCCTGGCCGTTGGTGGGGCCGACGAAGCCCACGTCCCGATCGCCATGCGCCACGCGCCGGACTCAGTCCTCCCCTTCGTGGGTCCCCTGAGTAGAGCTCCCCGGTCCCGACGCCCTAGCGCAGAGGTTCGGGCCGGACAGGGCAGGATAACGGATGGGTCGGCCGGACCGACGGTCGCACACCCGCCGCGGGGACCGGGGCCGCACCCGCGCTCGCGCTCGCGCAGGTCCTGCAGGCGGCCGGTGAGGCTCTCGCTCTCCGCCTCGAGCCCGCGCACCAGCTCCTCCAGCTCCTGCTTCCTCAGGCGCCCGTCGCGGTTGTCCTTCTGCAGCTGCAGCAGCAGCTCCTGCGTCTCGGCCATGGCTCCCCGAGCTCCGCCCGCCGCCGCCGCCGCTGCCGTCTGTCTCTCGGGGACCAGGAGTCCGCGCGCGTCACAATGGGCGGCAGGAGGTGCCCAGACGCAGGTCCCTTTGGGGAGGAAGATTCCCATAGTTTTTCCCTCATCTCTCGGGGTCAACTAGGGCATACACTCATTCCTAAGGCAGCCTTCAGTAAATGTGGTACAGCCTTAGACCCCATGCCTCAGTTTCTCTATCTGTAACGTGGGGGCTATGACTAGATTCTCCCTCATGAGGTTGACGGAATCAGTGAGGTCACATGGGTAAGGCTCTGAGCACTAAGCCCAGCACCACCGAGGCATGAGCCAGCCCCGGCACTAAGACTCCGGATCGTGACTGCTGAGCTCTGCAAAGTGGCTGGTCCACTCTGTAAACACTCATTAATAATGTTACACTGACTATAGATTGAAATATTTTTAATATATTTGATCCACTTAAAATTCACGTTTTCTTTTCCGTTTTCCTGTGGCTGTTGGAGAATATAAGCTGACAAGGTTGGGCCTGTCAGTCCTGTTGGAGGGAACAGTGCCCCCATTCCCAGAGGTCACTTCTCTCTCCAGGCCCAGCCTGAATGGTTCCCCTAACCATGTAGTGTCCCCAAGACCCCCACCACCCACACTGGGCGAGCATCATGGGAAAACCGAGGTCCAGCGAGGACAGTGGCAGGCCGGGTGCCCAGTCCCCGCTCAGTTCAAGGGAGAAGATGGAAATAGTGTCTAGCCATCATGAGCCATGACACTGGCTTTCCTGTAGCTGAGGGTGAGCTGATGGGTACTCTGGGCATGCCCACAGGGCAGGGGTGTCCCTCGGGGCAGTCCAACCTCTCCCACCCACCCCCACACTCCTATCTGGATAAGGAAAGCCTCTTCAGGGTGAGGCCAGGAGCTAATTAAGTTGTTCTGGAAACCCAAGCTGCTTCCCCTCAGTGGCCTGGAGGTAGGGGGGGAGGGGGCGTGGGCTGCAGTAGTCATGGAAACAAACCACCCTGACCTTGGTGCCTCGGAACCCTGCCAGGGAGCAGCTGACTGAGGTCTGATTCCAGCAGCAGCCCCGCCTTTGCATCCCCAATTCCCACCGGAAGCACCTGCCTGCCTCCCCAGTCAGCCTGTGTGGCCCAGGTCTGCCCCTTCTTCAGGACTCAGCTTCAAAGTCCCTCGGAGAGCCAGCCTCCTCCCCCAGTCTGGGTTAGGCACAGTCTTCTCCCTGGGTGGCCATGTTAGCCCCCCGACATCCACTAGGCCAGCGGTAGGCAAACCGTGGCTCACAAGCCACGTGCAGCTCTTTGGCCCCTTTAAGTGTGGCTCTTCCACAAAATACCACAGCCTGGGAGAGTCTATTTTGAAGAAGTGGCGTTAGAAGTTTTAAAAATTTGGCTCTCCAAAGAAACTTCAATCGTTGTGCAGTTGATATTTGGCTCTGTTGGTTAATGAGTTTGCCGACCACGGCCCTAAGCAATCCAGCTAATGGTATGTCTCGGTACTTTTCATACACTGACCTATACAGACCGAACAGCCTTCCCTTGAAACATCGATCGGGCATCACCTTCCCTGACCTTGATCCTGTGGTCCTACTGCACCCATTTCTGCCGTCCTCTGTTCAGTTAGAGTCCCTGCTTGTTGTTGCTAATGCTCAGTCAAGGGTATTTTCCACTGATTTTTAGGGAGTGTTAGAGGGACAGAAACATTTATGTGAGAGAAACACATTAATCGGTTGCCTCCACACACACACACACACCGCAGGCCAGGGAGGAGCCTGCAAGCTAGGTACATGCCCTTGACCAGAATCGAACCCTGGACCCTTATTCATTGAACAAAAACGGCTAGGATGGGAAGCCCTGTTTTTACAATTAAAATCTAGGTCACTCCTAAAGATCCAATGATGAGTTTTCTTATTTTCTCTTTTTTGCGTACCTGTGTTGTCTTTTAGGGTCAACATTTGTTATTTTTATAATGGAAAGTAGACATTTGTAGAGAAAAGCACTGCAATATATGAGAAAGGTGAAAGCTTTCTGACATGGTCCTAGTCAGCGCCAGTGCCCAGCAGATTGGGCTGCCCATCAAGCTCCCAGCTCACCCGGCCAGGACACCTTCCCTGCACTGGGCTCTCTCCTCTGCTCACTGGGGGAGGAGGGCAGAAACCTATCTCTCTCAGCCCCTCAGGCAAAGGTTAATTCTTGGTTCTCTCGGCGCCACCTGCTGGCGCCACTCAGCCAGGTAACCCTCCCTCTCCCTCCTACTTGCCCATCTAAGGCACCACGTCCCCACGGAGTGACTGTCTTCCCCCGGAAAGCCAGTCAGGGCCTGGCCCTTCAACAGCCTCCCCTTAGGTGCACAGTACCTGCAGGTCCCTGGGGTGGGGTGGGGGGGAAGCCAGCCCCTCCCAGTTGGCTCCTCCCTCCTCCAGCCCAAGGCTACCGGCCGGAGACTGGGCTATGCCAGTTGGCTGGAGAGCATGGATCCGGTGCCCAGCCACTCGAGCACAGGTCTCGCGTGTCCACACAACTCATTCAGATTCTGGAAAGAGAGTTGGTGGCGGTGTCCATGTTACCTAACAGACCCAGAGGCAGGGACCATCCACAGGAACCTCTGGCAGCACTGAAACCTTTTAATAACGTGCCTGGTGGCTTTACCAGGTTCGTGAGCCATTTAAAGGCTTCCTTTACTTCTCTGCACGTTTAGAAAATGTCCCCACAGAAGGGCTGAGACAAACATTGACTTCATCATTGATGCTTCTCTCTCCCCTTCTCCCTTCCTCTCTCCTTAATAAAAACCTTAAATAAAAAAATTTAAAAAAGAACCATATGGTGATTTAAACTAAGTTCAGGTGTTGCTTTGATAAAACACAAATTGTAAAACGGCTGAATGGCACTTACCGTGATGTAGAGCAGCAATGCCCATGCTCTGCTGGAGGCCTGGAACCCAGGGCTCATCTGCTGCAGCCCTGGGGTTCCTGGGATGCCAGTCCATGGTGCCGGGTCTAAGCTCGCAGACTGACCTCCTAACCCCACCCCTACTCCTCTTCCTTCCTCACTCACCCAGGGCTCCCGCCCTGCTGGCTGGGAGAAGTCCCCCAGAGAATCTCATTTACCGGCCCTGCTCCCAGAGACTGGTGATTCTCTTTATTCTCTTTTCCTCCCTCCTGCCCCCTCCCCACCCAGTCAGTGGCCTCACCCTTCAACAGCCTCCCTGGAGTGGGGACCGGAGAGCAAAGGGGGCTGGAGAGAGAGACCCTGGGCAGTCCTTCCAAGGCCAAGCAGGAAGCAAAGGAAGGAGCGAGAACATGAGAGCCGCTGCCCCGCCCCAGCCGACATGGCTGCCCCAACAGGTGGCCCTGGGCAAAGCCATTCCCCTCACCCAGGCCACCAGGTCCACATGCTCCCTACACACCCACTGCCTGGCTAACTGAGGCCCACACTGCCCAAGAGGATGCCAGCCCCGGAGAGCTGGTCAGCAAGGAAAGCAGTCTGTCACTTTGTAAGAAAGAACAGCCACGGAACACACAGGCCCCGAAAGTCCGAAAGGTAGTTTTCAATCAAGCTTTTAATGAAAAGATCATAAAATAACAGTTTCTCATCACTGTACATTAAGACTGCACACTTCTGAATGGAGAGATCAGTCGTAGGTGAATTGCTTTTCTATGACATGTGAGGGCTGCGAACTTGCAGCTCTGACCTGAATTTATCCAAACTCTTGAGGGAAGTGAACTCAACGTGATGACTGACAGTGGCGGTGGCCAGTACAGGAGTGCGATCACAGTGTCCCTCCCCCTTTCTGGGAAGGACGTAACAAGGACATGATCCCTCTTCCAGTTCCAATTAAACAAAACAGCTTTAACCCCATCCCTCTCCCTCCCCCTCGAGGTATTTATGAATGGGCCAGTGCCCAACCTGGGGTCCCCCAAGGGGGGAGGGGGAAAGCAAGTGATGGGTGGGTACAGAGAGGCTCCCCTCAGCACCTGGCCCCACAGGGCCCCGCCAAGTGGAGGGGGGGGCCTGGAGAGCCTCCCTGTCCCAAGTGAGGTCTGTTATGCAGCATTTCTGAGGTCAATAAATTACAGCAATAAATAGCAAGGTGAGGTAGGGGGAGGAGTTCCTGGTAGAAAAAGTGGGGTGACTGAAGCTGGGGGGTACTGGGCAGCCTCAGTTCCCACAGTGCACACCCACCCCCTCGTTTGGAATGTCAGACGGAGGCTCTGGTTAGTTCCCTCTCCATCCCCTCTTCCTGGCATCGGATTCACAGGTTCAATAGCACCTGCCCCAACGTGGCTCTGGGGAAGAGCAAGGGCCTTGGTCCCTCAGGGGCAGAACGGAGATCCCTTGTTTGTTCGCCGGAGGCCTGGCGCCTCTGCTTTTGTCCCCCAAGTCGGGGGACAGGACGGATACAGTGACCTCTTCCCTGAGTCCTGCCCTTTCCGGCTGCCCAGGCCTCACCCCAGCTCAGGATGGTTGCAGGGATGGCGGCTGGGGTCTGCCTGCCCAGCCAGCCAGCCCAGATCGCACTCCTGCACTCGGTCAAGTCCAGTGAATACTGATGGGGTGGGGGCAGGGGACAGCCCAGCCCCGAGTGGTGACTAAACAGGAAGCACACGCATGGCTGCGTGCGGTTCTGAAAGCCGTCTGGGTCCGGATTGCTCGTTCACAGGCTGAGGTGTATGGCTATGCTGCGAGTCTCTGAGATTTTTATTTGCTTAAAGGTTCGTCTTTGTTTTGCAACCCTGGACGAGCCCCTGCAGTGGCTCGGTCTGGCAGGGGCGCGTGGCGGCAGAGCCAGGGCTGCCTCTCACTCGCCCCAAGTCTGAGAAATAAATACATTCATTACTGCACAAACATATTGATACAAAAACAACACTGTTCAGAGTGTTTGCACCGTCTGTGTTGGTAAGGACCAGCCCAGTAAGCCCCTCCTGCCACTGGTGGTGGTGGTGGTGGTGGTGGGGTGGGTCCCCAGGGACTGGGACCAGCCAGAATCAATGGATGTGCAAAGGTCCTGGCTTTTTGGCTTGAGAGGGACCCTCACATCAACCCACCCCAGGGTCTCAGGCAGAGCAGAGGTGGGCTCACCGCCATCCCAGGCCCAAGCCCAGCCTCGGTCTTGTGGTCAGAGCCAACAGCACCCCGCGGTGCCAGTTGGCCGGGGTGGCCAGAAGGCCGGGGGGGCCAGTCAGCACTGGCCCAAGCTCTTTGGTGCCAGCTGGGCTTGGAGGCGGGGCTGGGAAAGAAGGCTCAGGTGAACTGCCCGCCCCCTATGTGCCCTCTGCAGGGGGCTCTACCCGGCCGACCTGGAGGGGCCTCCAGAGGTGAGGACTCACTGGGACTGGCCTTCCAGCTGCTGAGGTCTGAAACTGTAAAAGTTTATGTAAACAATGAGATAAATATATTAGCATCTTTTTTCTGAGCCTGCTGAGGTTCCATACTCATTCAAAATGTGCTTTGGTTTAAAAAATAGGTTTTGTGAATTTGGGTATGAGCTTTTTTTTTTTTTTTTTGCTTTTTTTCTTTTTGTTGTTGTTTATCCTCTTTCCTACATGACAACTGCTATTTTCTGTTTCCTGTTTCTCCAAAACATTCAAGAATTAAGTGACTAAAGCAGAGAACTGTAAGCCGCCCGGGGCCTCCATGGCCTGATTTCCTTGTGAGGCTCCTAACACATTTCCACGCACACTCACAGGCACACGCCACATGAACTCGAAGGAAAAAAGAAAACAAAACCAAGTGTGTGTCAGTCCACCCTGCCCCACAAACCCTTAAAACCTTCATCAGGAAACTAGTGTTTTTCTTTCTTGCTAAAATACAGAGAAGGCTCGGTACAATACTCAGGTGGGTACAATACTATGTCGCACAGACGTTGCTGAGTGAGGGGCCTCACGCCCAGTCCCTGAAGCTCTGCAAACGAATCGCCTACTTTCCCGAGTCACCTCACGTATGTGGCTCCCGCGGCTGGGAGGCCACCCACAGGCTGGGCGTGTGCCCCTCCCGTGCAGTACAGACTTTGTGTCGTGTGGCTTAAGTGCTGACGGGTGGGGTGGGGTCGGAGAGCAAAGGGGCCTGCGGCAGGTCCTGCCCGGCTGGAACCAAACCCTGGGCACAGCTTCTGTTTCCCTGGCTCAGGACTGCGGGCACTGCCTGAGGGCTCACCCAGGAGCCCTCCGTCCCAAACACACCACTCACCACTGGGGTCCCTGAACTCAGGCTCTGTTTTCACTGGAGGGCCTCTGGAAGGGTTAGGGGTAAGGATGACTCTGGAATTTTTTGGTCTGAACTTAAAATAGAAAGAAAAAAAGAAGAGAAAAAAAGCACAAGCATGAAGCAAAATGAAGAAGATAAAGCCACCGGCTCAGCCCTGGAGCCAACTTCGGCACGTTGGTCTGGCCTTGTGAGCTCCGGCCCATGGAGGTGCTGAGACTGGAGGAGAAAACCCAGCAAGGGGCGAGGGGTGACACCAGACAGGGCTGGGCCAATGGGTGGCAGCCAGCCCCGAGACAGAGTGGCAGCGGGCCAGTCCCCTTCCTGTCCCCCGGAGGGAACACATCGCTTTGGACAGCCCTCCCCACGCCTCCACGCCGGCTGACACTGCTCCTTCCCCAGCTCACGCTCACAGGCCCAGGGAACAGGATGGAGCAGAAAAGAGCTGGCGCCCATCGCCCCGGTGCCCAATACCTGGCTCCCCCGGAACGGGAGCACTCACGCCCTCGCCTGGGCCCAGATCGGAGCTGCGTGGCTCCCGGGCTCAGCAGACACTCAGGCCAGCCCTGTGCCCGGGAGACACCCACAAGAGCAGCCTGGGGAGCGGCAGGAGCCTCGCTGAGAGGGGCTGCGTACGTGCAGGTCGTGGTGCACCAACGAGAGGAAAACAAGTGTCCCTGCCTCCGCTGCCAGCCGCCAGCGTACTGTTCTCCGTGTATTTCAAGAGGTAGCAAAAGGTCAGAAGTCTCTCCACCTGACAGGACAGGAAAGGAAGAAGGAAAGCGCGACATCTGTCCACACGCACTGCGCACACCACGCACACAAAGCAAAGGAAAACGAGTACCGACGGCCCTGGCACCCGGTCCAGCCTCCCCCCTCCCCCCTCGAACCCCAGACCTTCCAGTTCAAACATTCACATAAACGTTACACTGGTCTTTCTCTTAATAAAAAACAAGTACCTCTAAACAAAGATTCCTCGGAAACTATAGGAAAAGCACTCTCTCTCCTGAGGCAGCCGAGGCGGCTGGGGCCCAGGGAAGCCTTTGGCCAGGAAGGGCTACTGGGGCTGGAGGGGTGGCGCCCCGAGGCCTGCAGCCAGGCGGGAGGGGCGGCGCCCCATACATTCAGTCTGCAGACCCAGGCTCAGCCCAGAGGGGCCAGGAGGGAAATAAATTCTTGTTGGTTTTGGTTTAAAAAACAAAACTCACAAAGAAAAAAGGAACAGATCAGTAGGAATAACAGCGACCCCGGCCCAGAGGGCTCTTTAGTTGTGGAGAGGTAGGCGGTGAGGGCCCCCTGGCTCAAGGGGGGGGGGGGCCTCCATCGCCTCCCATCCAGCACTGCTCCCCTCAGAGCCAAGGCGGCCCACACACAGACTAGCACTCCTGCGCACAGGGACACAGGCAGCCCTGACCCTCCAGCAGAGGGAGGTCCCCACTCCCCCTGCTCAGACCTGACCTGCACAAAAAGGCCGAGGACGACCCGTGACCCACTCCCACAGGCCTTGCGGCAGCCCTGGGGGAGGGGGCAGGGGCCTGGGCGGGATCTGGAGGTAGACTGCACACCCACAATACCTTTGGGGCCCGGGACCCGGCCTCCTCCTGCTCTCTTTCCTTGGTACAGACTGTGGATTAAAGCTCTGGGTGGGGGTGGGGGTGAGGGGGCTGGCTAGAGGTGTCACCAGGAGCCACCCCCTCTAGGATTGGGGTCCGGGCCTGGCCCCTGGGCCTCCTTACTTCTTTCTCCCATCGTTCCCGGGGCGGGCCTGCAGGGGGCGGGCCTGCAGGGCGCCCCGGGCTGGAGAAGGTCTTTGGCTTCTAGGTGGGGGAGGTGTGCATGCGCAGGTGGCTGATGAGGTTGCGCTGCTGCGTGAACTTGCCGCCGCAGAGCTGGCACTCGTAGGGCTTCTCGCCCGAGTGCACGCGCATGTGCTCGGTGAGGCGGTACTGGCGGGTGAAGCGCATGCCGCACTCGTCGCAGGCGAAGGGCTTGAGGCCCAGGTGGCTGCGCATGTGGCGCGTCATGGTGCCGCGCTGCGTGAACATCTTGCCACAGATGTTGCAGGGGAAGGGCCGCGTCAGCCAGTGCGTCTTCTCGTGCTGCCGCAGCGTGGCCGGGTCCTTGTAGGTCTTCTCGCACACGGAGCACTTGAAGGGCCGGGGCTCGGCCGCGTAGGCCGCGCTGGGCGCCGACAGGTCCTCCGCCTCCTCCTCGGCTCCCCCGCTGCCCGTCTCGTAGGCGCCCTCCTCCTTGATGAACAGCTCCTCCTCCGTGTGCGTCTCCACGTGGGCGTTGAGCTGCTCGGAGCTGGGGAAGCCCTTGGCGCAGGGGATGCACACGTACAGGTTGTCCCCGTAGGACACGGTCTCGTAGCCCTCCTGCCGGTACATGTAGTGGGCGCTGGCGTGGCCGCTGCCCCCCTCGCTCTCGCTCTGCCCGCTCTCCTCGCTCGCATCCTTGCCGTTCTCTTCCTCCTCCTTGCAGGGGTACGGGGGCTCCCTGTAGGGCCCGCTGGGGCCGCCCCCGGCCACGCCGCTGGCCAGGATGCCGTTGGGAACCCTGTCCCCGAGGCCTTCACTCTCTTCCCCTGGGCAGGAGCCCTTGGGCCCCGCTTCCCTCCGCTCAAAGGGGGATCCCGCCACGGGCTCCTTCTGGCTCCACTCCTTCTTGCGGGCCGCGTGCCGGAGTCTCTTGCGGGGCTGCCCGCCAGGCCCCTCCAGCAGGCTCAGGTGGTTGTCCTCGGGCCCCTCCAGATCCATGGGCTCGCTGGGGGTGCCCCCCAGGTCGGCGTAAGAGGCACTGTTGGCAACGGGAGGAGCTGAGGCCGAGAGGGGGGAGCCGTGCTGACTGTCACTCAGCTGGGCGGGATCATCCGGGGTGAGGGGGGGAACAGGAGTGGCGGGGGGCAAGGGCGGACTCTTCTTGGACAGGTCCAGGCCCAGCTCCTGCTCGCAGCCCCCACTGCTCCCATTGGTGCTGCAGCTGCCCAGGCCGGCCTCCCCGCTGGCCGGACAGACGGCCCGGCCCAGGCTGTGTGCACTCTCCGGATTGGAGCTGCCGAGGAAGAGCTCATCATCCGAGCCTTTGGCCTGGGCGAGCTCCTGGGGGGTGTGGGCCCCCTGGCGCCCATCCATGAGCCCTGGATACCGAGCTTGGATGACAGAAGCCGTGGACAGCCGCTGGCTGCGGGGGGGCCGCCCCATGCCAGCAGCCCCCACCCGTCCAGAGCCGAAAGGCTTGCCGGCTCGCTTGAGCTTCCGACGGCAGAGGGCTGCCAACTCGGGCAGCTGGAGGTAGCTGGCGGCAGTGAGGAGAGTGCTGAAGTTGGGCTCCGAGGGCTGGTCGCTGGGCAGCAGCTTGCCCGTGTAGATAAAGTCCAGGATCTGCTGGAACACCGTGGAGCTGACCATGTCCGTGTCCAGGTTGATGAGGTTGTCGTGCAGGACCAGGGACTTGAAGTAGATGCTGCTGGCGGCCAGGACGTTCTTGTGGGCCCGGAAGATGGAGTTCTCCACCATGATGATGACGTCACACAGGAAGCCCTTCGTCCTCTGCTGGTTCAGCTGCAGCAGGAGCTGCTTTGAATGGCTGGGCAGCTCCATGTCAGGCCCCATGTCCCCACGCCCTGCCCACGCGTACCACCTGCAAGCAAGAACAGGTTTGTGAGAGTTAGCTGACCGGAACCTAGTGCCAGGGCTCCAGGCCTGGGAAGGCCACAGTGGCGCTCAGAGAGGCCGCTGAGCTGACCAGGCCACTGGCCACCTCCTCAGGCCCAGGACACAGGGAGGGAACTCCCACTGCCCACCTGGCGCTCAGACGGCCAGAAAGGGGCAGCGGCACTGGCCCCATTTGCACTGATGAGAAAGCGAAAGCAGGACAATGAAAGAACTTGACTTCACAGCCCATGGACATCTCCACAGTAAAGGAAGTAACCACAAGCCCCAGGGACCTAAAAATGACAGCAGAGGATTCGGAGGAGCGGGGAGGTGGCAGACACTGAGGGGAGAAGGAGCTCTGGGAAGGCCAACTTCCCATGTGAACATACAGCCACACAGCTTTGAGGACAAGCTAAAAGCCTCAATTTTTAGGTGAAATCTCCCAATATTTTTTAATATATTTTTATTGCTTTCAGAGAGGAAGGGATGAGGGGGGGGAAACATCAATGATGAGAGAGGACCATTGATTGGCTGCCTCCTGCATGACCCCCCCCCCCCCCCCGGAGATAGAGCCCGCAACCCAGGCCTGTGTCCTTGGCCGGAATCAAACCGCTCTATCCACTGAGCAGGCCAGGGCGAAGGTTCTTTTTCTTCAATGCCCTGTGAGCCAAATGTGCAGCCTCCAGCCTGCGGTTTCTGCTTTACCTGGGCTGCCTCTTAAAGACCCTACAGGCTCCCCAAGCTTCCAGACTTGCCAATGTGTGTTCCCACCACCCAGACCTGCAACCACAGGCAGTCCCTCACCTGCTCTCAACTCACAGGCGCTTAGCCCCTAGAGGCACAGAGCACTTCCTGGTCTGAGTCTCTGAGTGCTGAGCAGAAAATGTGGCCTGGCCACACCACTGGCACAACATGGGTCCTACCCCGGATCCCTTCTGGGCAGGGCAGCACTGTCCGGGCCCGGGAAAGTCAGCCAGACTGGCACAGTCACTAACTGATGTCATTAAATACCAAAAGGCAGAAGCCCCTGGCCTCATCAGGAACCCACAGGCTGGGTGGGGGAAGTGTGATCACCATACGCCCACTCCAGAGTGGCGGGCCTACAGCACAAGGTCGTGGCTCCCTGCCCTCCAGCCGCTCAGGGAACATAAAGCCTTCCACCGGCAACTGCCACTCAGCTGTCACAGGCACCCTCACCCCCTCTCGCAGGCCTCAATCTGAGTGCTCTGAGCCTCACCTCACCGGGGACCTCCTGCTCCTCGCCAGGCATACAGCTCTGCCTCCCTCAGGACAGGCTGGAGGGATCGCACCCACCCTGCCTCCCTGTGACACACACACACAACACACCCCACTCCACACGTGCCCTTGTTTACAAATATTAATTAAAAAAAAAAAAAAACACAATAAAACCCTAGCAACCAATCAAACCCCCAAAAGGCATCCGAGCTTTCCGTGAACACGTGGGTGCCAGGCTGCACCAGGGCCTGACAGCAGGAGGCAGCAAACGCTCGCTAGACAATAGGCCAACCTGGCCCTGCAGGGCTGCTCAGCTGGGACTGAGGTGGGAGCCAGGTCCTATGGGAACCAACCTTCCCCTACTCCCTGCCCCCAGCCAGCCAGGCAGGCACAAACTGCCCACGGCATGGCCTCCACATCGGCTGGAATACCCGGCCCCTGGAAGTACAATCAGCTCCACCAGCACCCAGACGCCCGGTGCTCCGAGCCTGTCCAAGGGACTGCTGAGGGATGGGGGTCCCACCCTCCAGAGCCTGAGTCCACGGTGAGCCCCTCCTCCCCAAACCGAGGACAGTGGGCCAGCCTCCCCTCTGAGCTGCCCTGCTGCCTGCACACAGAGCCTGCAGGCCAGGACACAGGCTGTGTGGCCTCCCAGAACCCCCAGCAGAGCTGGTGGACGATGCCCTCCCTCCCCACAGTCCCCCTCCCGCTCCCCCTCCCTGCCAGTCCCTGTCCCCAGCCTACCGGAGTGCCAGGGGCCCAGAAACCATGTGAGCAGCAGCGAGCAGGGGCAGCCTCCTTGAGCGCGTGGCCTCCCTTGGGGGTGCATCAATGCCCGGTCACCTGGAGAGAAGACGGACACGGTCAGCCATCATGGGGGGGAAGGGGGGAATGAAGTAGAAGGTGCCGGGTAGTCCTTGGGGTTTCTCTGGCTGGGTGATAGGGGCAGCCAGCTGGGAAGGAGACAGTGGCCATAGTGCCCGGCCAGCAGGCCCAGTGGCAGGTTAAGATGGCAGCTCCAGGGAGCTCAGAGGCACTGCACCCGCTCTCCCGCCAGGAGCTTTAGGGCACTCCAAGGACCACCTCAGCCCCGGAGCTGGGAGCAGGCAGGAGTTCATGGCTGGCATGAAGACAGGAGGCCTGGGCAAGGCCCTTCAGGCCAGCCACATTTACATGACAAAGGCTCAGAACTGGAGGCACTGGTGCAATGGGCTATTTATAAGAACCAGTCTCAACCGCTTCAGGCTCTCCTGCCTCCTTCCCTTCCAAATCTGCTCTTGCCCCCTCCCTGCCCAGAGGGCCCAGCCTGAGCACATGGCCTCCTGCCCCTGATAGGAGTTTTCGAAAGCGTGGCCTTCCAATACCACCCTGCCAAAGCCACTGGCAGCAGCTACCAGAGGCAGGTGGGCTGCTTCTGCCCCCTACTTTTCAGGTCCCACAAGAGGGGGGGTTCCTGTGGTTCTGGCTCCTCGCACACCACTCCAGTGGGCAGACCAGGCTCCCTTGGAACGGAGCCAGGGTGGGGGAGGAGGCCTGCGGCAGCTTGGAGCCCATCCCTGCTGCCTGCCCTTCCCCGCCCCCAGGGCAGGGAGGCTCAGCAGGTCCCTCAGGAATGTGACCAGACCCGGGGGTGCGGGAGGCTGGGAGGCCTCAACTCCAACCTGCCAGCTGTCTCTCTGGCCCCGAGCACAACGCCCTCTCACAGGGGTGGCCCAGGGGGAGGGGGACTCGGCTGGTCAGGGTGGTTGATCTGGGATCTGATGACCAGAGAGCAGCAGAACCAGCTCTGTAGGTACAGCTGCCTGTGCGGAGTCCAGGCTCAACCATAGACAGAGCTGCGCCCAGCCTTGGGAAGGAGAGCAGAGACCACCGCAGCGCTGAACAGGAAGCCACAGCCAACCAGATGCTCACCACACAGCCCTGTGCCACAGTGGCTTCCACCTCAGCATGCGCCCGACCCTGCAACTAGGGGTTATTTACCCTTGTCAGAGACCAGGCCAAACTCCTGGGCAGCTCAGGGAGTGAGAGATGGGGGTCCCACCCTCCAGAGCCTGTGAGTCCACGTGAACCCCTCCTCCCTAAACCCTGGGCAGCTCAGGGTAGCTGGGCCCTCTGGGCAGAACAGGACTTGGACTCTCCGTGGGTCCCCGCTGCCCAGCCCCGCCAGGCACACTGCACTAGCCAGGGGACAGATGAATGACTGATGGAGGGCTCCTGGGCTGGCACAGACTCCGGTGCCTGGCCTCACCACAGGCTCGCTCAGCAGACAAGAGCTGAGCCAACTCGCTGCACCCTCCACTAGGTGGAGCCCCAGCAGAGTGGGCTGCATGCTGCTGTCCTGCCACCCAGGCGGGGCCCAGTGTGGGCCACCACTGTCTACATCACCAAAGAGGCAGTGCCTCCCGTTGCAGGGCTAGGCCCCTATGAACCATGCTCTTCTCTTCCCAGCAAAATGACCACAGCCAGAGACCTCTGCCCTCCCACTTGCCTACAGGTGTGGGGACAGACAGGAAGCACCCATCCTAGAGAGGCCACAGCCTGGGGAGTGGAGGTTGCCAGGTTAGTAGAAGCAAGACTGGGGACTGGACCAGCAAGTGGGCAGCACAATGGCCCACTAGATCGAGGGGCTAATGCCCAGCCTGGCGGAAGCCCACTATAGGATAGGGTGAGGACACTCCTGGGCCCCAGCAGCCCCCAGGCAGCAGTGCCTATCTGCCCCAGGTCAGGCCAGCTGCCCAACCAGATCACTGGCTCCAGGAAACTAAATCTGGGGGAGGGGGGACAGTCAGGTCCTCCTCTATGGCCTACACCTGGACCATTCCAGATGGGTGGGTAGGTGTCCGCAGGTGGGCTGACCCTGGCAGGGAAGTCCCTGGGGCCAGCTCTGCCCCCTGTGAACAAACAGGGTGTGGGAAGGCACAGAGACTGCCTGAAGACCTGGATCCCCTTCCCAGGCCCTTGTTTCCAGCTACACCGTGAACTGGGGCAGGTCCCTGCCAAATTCTCATTTCCTTTCCTCCCGCCCAGGCCCATGCCACAAAAAGCCAGGGAGGCATTCTGTCCCCTCATGATCATCACCCCCCTCCCCCTCTCTCTCACACACACGAGCACGCACACACACACTCTCTCTCACAGCAGGCACAGGGCCCAGGCGCCAGACACCTGAGGGAAGGCTAGGCCCTTCTAGGTGAGCCAGAGGGAGATGGCGGAGCTCCTCACACCCCATCTGCTGCGCCTTCCCTGCCTACTCTCCAACCACCCGTGGAAAGGCCCACAGGCGCTGTCATCCAGAGGAAAGGAGCACCCTGGGGCACACACAGCCAACTGCTAAAGGAGGATGTACCCGGGGGGTGGAATTACACATTTATGTCGAGTTCTAGGGCAGAACTAACCCGTGGTAGAAACAAAACCAGGAAGCCTGTGGAGGGTGAACGGGGCATTGCCTGGGGGGGGCATGAGGAACTTTCTGGGGTGAGACTCACTCTTGGAAGGAGTCTGGACCAAAGCAGATATACTCACTAGCCAAAACTCAAAGGGTCACTTGAAATTTGGGTGCCATGTTATATGTAAATCTTCCCTCAAACAGGAAAGAAATAAACTGCAAACAAAAGGAGAGAAAGAGCAGAGGCTTTCACAGAGCATGCCTGTGTCGGGAGCTCAGCATTCACGGTGCTGCCCTACGCCAACCGCACTGCCACTGCCTCCGCCTCCGCCTCCGTGTCCACAGGGAGGCAGCAGACACTACCCGCAGGTACAAGCAGCCCAGGATCCAGAGGAGCCTAAGGCCCAGCCCCCACCCCTACCGAACCTGCACCCCCACAGCCCAGGACTCCGCTCATCCCATCTCACGGCCTCCTCTGCTTGATGGAGGTTCCTCCAGGAAGCCATTCCCATCCCAACCCTGCTCGCTCTGCAGAGGCTGCACCTCCACCTGCACCGTCTGCCTGTCAGAGGGCAGCCTCCTAAGTGCTGCCTCCACCTCCAGGGACAGATGAGACAAGGTTCTGGGGGGTAAGCAACTTGCCAAGGTCACAAGAGCGAGTGAGTGGCCGAGTGAGGACTGGGTGTGACTCCAGAGCTGCAGTCAGGCTCTCCCTTTCCCAGGCAGGAGCAGACCGCCCTCCATATGCAGCCACCGAGGGCAGCCTTGGTCAGCACCTCCACCTTATTCTCCCACCCCACAACCTGCCCTGCACAGCAGGGCCTCACCTGGGCTGTGTCCTTCCACTCAGGGTAAGGGCCGTGGGTGGCCCCACAGCCCTACCGCCCGGGGCAGTGAGGCGTTTCAGGCTAGCGCCTCAGGTGGGTCCCATCCCTCACAGCTGCTCCTCTGGGAACAGCGCTGGCCTCCATGACCTCTCTAGCCAGTCCCTCCAGGCAGGGCTGGGATGGGTGGGACTCACGGCTCTGGGCAAGCCCAGCCGTGTAATCCAGCCCAGATCTGGATGCCGGCCAGCAGCTCCTGGCTCTCCTCCCAGACCATCGTCCTGGAAAGCAATAAGCTCCACAAATGCCAGGAGACCAGCGCTCCCTCCAACGCAGCGTCTACGACATAAACACTTGGGTTTTACTCGGCGCTTTGGTGACGCGGGGATGGGGGGCGCCTGGCTGGCTTCCTTCTCTAACCCTCAGGCCAGTCTTGACACCCACCCACTGGCTGCCCTGCCCTTCTGTGAACAAGAGGAAGTCTGGAGGGGAACTTGTGAGCTTGTGATCCATGAGGGAGGTGGTGTCCACCCCAGCCTGACTACCCTGAGTCCATCCTGAAATCCTATGGGCCCCACTGAAGACCCCAAGCTCCCTTGCGGTCCAAGTCCCACATGGGCCCCAACCCAATCTGTGCCACTCCCATCTGAAAGGTGGGAACACTCGTGGGTACCTCACCCCCGGAGAAAGTGCTGCTCTGAGGGAGATCTGGCAGGAGGCTCCAGCCCACGCCACCCAGGCCCCATGAGCCTCACAGCCCTGCTGCTCCAGAGAGCCTTGGTCCCCTCCTCCCCCCAGGAGGCCTACAGCCTCACATAGCTCTGGCTCTTCATCAAGAGAATGAGGCCAAGACCACTTGGGGACGTGCAGATGGAGTTCCCTTCCTGCAGCTGGCCCAACTAGCTGGCTCGCACCAGGAAAGCTGAAGGGCAGGGTCCTACCAGAAGGGCCCCAGGCCTGACACAATTTACCCAAAAGTTCTGAGTAGGCCCAAGACCATGAGTACTACTGGGAAGAGGCAGCTGAGCGCGATTCAAAGGGGAATAATAATCATTTAAGGCCGAAACCGGTTTGGCTCAGTGGATAGAGCGTCGGTCTGCGGACTGAAAGGTCCCAGGTTCGATTCCGGTCAAGGGCATGTACCTTGGTTGCAGGCACATCCCCAATAGGGGGTGTGCAGGAGGCAGCTGGTCGATGTTTCTCTCATCGACGTTTCTAGCTCTCTATCCTTCTCCCTGCCTCTCTGTGGAAAATCAATAAAATATATTTTAAAAAAATAATAATCATTTAGGATTACAATTATTGTTTAAAAACCATGTTCTCCTCCAGACTCTGTCCCCCACATTGCAGGGGCCTGAGCTGCTGCAGTGACAGAAACAGGAGGCTGGAGCTGAGGAGCCTGTCGGAGGCCGGCAGGGTGGGTGCCAACAGGACAGACAGCAGGGGAAACCGGTCATCCTGTCAGCCCAGGAACGAGTGACAATCCAGAAGCCACGTCAGCAAGGAGGCAGACAGGCCCGGAATCTGGTTCCTGTGCCCCATCCCACTTCCTGCTAGTCTTGGT